AGTGACAGTGATTTACCACCTACTTGGATGGTTCCAGCACCTTCTGGGTGAGGAACAATCACCCACTGTTGCGACCTCTGTGGTCTGTGCTTTCTCCCAAATGGATTAACCGAGTGAGTCACTCCTTTCCTGCTGGAATGTTTAAAACTGCAAAGTGGCAATGTGAGGTTTTTTTAAATAGAAAATTTAGCATTTCCCATTAATTGGATCAAATCTGGTGTTACGCTTAAATTTTCAGTTCTTTAAAGGTTATTTTAAGGCGGGGGGTGGGGGCGCTTATCTTGGTTTCCTAAATAATCAATAATTCTTTTTTTTCTTTTTTTCCATTTTTCTTTTTTTTCCTTTAAGATCTAAAGTTTAAATGTGTGGAATTTTCAGAGACTTGCTCTATGCATCAGTATGTGTGTAGGTGTCACCTCCTCCACACACAGAAAAAGGGATCTCTCCCATATGTGGGATAAAAAAGGAAACATAGAAAGGGAACAACAAATGGTCAAAGTCTTTGGAACTGAAGATTTTGTCTAAAGAACTGAGCTTACGCGGTGGTGGTGGTGGTATGGGCGGGGGCAGGTCAGTGGTGCAGGTTGGGAGGGGTCCTTGGGTCACTGGTGGAGAGAAGCTGGTTCTCTGGTGGTGAGTGTGGTGTGGGGACGATGTATGCCTAAATAATATGATTTTTTTTTGAAAAATAGATGTGAAGTTTAAAGGGTGAGAAACTAAGAGGCCCCAAAATGTAGAAACATCTTGACTCTTAAAATGTTGTCTAATATATTATTGGGAAATTAAAATCTATTAAAGTTACTACTTGAATTTTATTGTTAGTGACAAGGAACCTTGAAAACTGACCTACATATCAGGCAGAAGGACCTGGTTGATATTTACAAAAGTCCCTTGTGTAAAAAGGGTTACAGAGCAACATAAGATACTTAAAATTGTTTCTGTTTCAGAGAGAACCAGAAACATGCAAAGATTTTTGCTTGCTTAATCTTGGCTTGGGGGGCACACTTGGTGGTTTTGTGGGCTCCTCCTGTGTTGGGTAACATTGCTTTGTCCTTCCACAAGAAGCTTAGGTTTATCTGGTTACACCCATCAATCTGGTTACACCCATCACAGTGCTCCTGAAGCACTTCCACTTCCATTGTGTTTACATGTAAACATGTAGTCTTCCCTATGCTCTCCTTCCCACCCAGTTAATCAGCTTTCCCCTTAATCAGACTTTGTTAATTTGTAAGATCAGTTTCCCAGAAATCTATGATTTTATATGTATGAGTGAAATATTGCCTTTTTCCTCTCCTTATGCCTTATGAACAGTTTACTTTAAAGTAATATCCTTTTTGTATAGATACAGGAAGACCGTTAACATTATGCTTTGTAATTTAGGATTTGATTGGCCTTGAATATTATTCACTCCCGGGCATCTTTCTCGACTTAAGCCTCAGTTGCCCTTAGTTCCTAACACCCCAAAAGCAGGGTCCCGACGAGGGACTGAATGGACCCAGGGCAAGCAGTGAGCTACCCTGGCAGTGAAATGGGTCAGGCCAAAGTGCCACTATCTATAAGTTAAGAGTTTGATCATAGACAAATGCTGTCATGATCCAAAGGTAACAAGACTAGGATCCTGCTAGGGGTGGGGAAGACTATCTGGCCTGAGCACCGTAGTCTGAGATCAAGATGGCCCTAGGAGAGCAATTCTATAAGTTTAAGATATTTCTTACTGTATCCATACAAAATGATTTATATTATATTCTTGTATGCTTGTTGGACAAGGGGAGGAGAGGCACGCCCATGGGATTATGCTCTAGGGTGGGTCCTCCTGCTGAGGAAGGATCTGTCCTAGGAGCGGTCTTCCCTGAGGCTAAGATTTCTACCCCTATTGATTTCTACCCCTATTGATTGTGACCGCACCTATGTGTAATTGTTTCCCCAATTCCTCATGGAGAGAGGATTTAACTGTACTGTAGGAGTGGGCTGGGAGCAGAAGGAAGAAGAGGTTCAGAGAGGATCAGAAGGAAGAGGAGGATGAAGGGGGATGGAGAAGGGGAATGAAGTAGCTGGGGGAGGAAGACTGGGAGCAGAGACAGAAGGAGAGAGGGAGCAGAGACAGATGAGGAGAGAATCAGAATAAACTACGACGAATACCTACCAGCCTGGCCCTCGTTCCTTCCTCCGCCTGACCATCGCCATCGACCTCTCCGGGGTGGGAGAAGGGTGAGACTACCGAACGTGGGCGGTGGGAGAGAGAGAGCCACCGCCGCTGTGTGGGTGCCGTGCCCCCTGTTTTGTGTGAGATTACACACTCCTGGTTCTGTGCTCAGAGGTTATACCTGGCGGTGCTCAAGGGTACCAGGGATTGATCCAGGGCCTCCAGCATACAAAGCATGTACTCAGTCTTTTGAGCTGTCTCTCCAGGCCAATAAAAGTAAAAAGTAAAGTAAAGGCCCTCCCGTTGATCATCGATTTGCTCGAGCGGGCCCAGTAACGTCACCATTGGAGACTGTTGTTACTGTGTCTGGCATATCGAATACTCTCGGTAGCTTGCCGGGCTCTCCGAGAGGGGCGGAGGAATCAAACTCGGGTCGGCCATGTTGGCTGTGTGCAAGGCAGATGCCCTACCCGCTGTGCTATCGCTCCAGAAAGTTTTGAGATAACCGTAGTTTTAGATGTTGTTGTAAGAAGCACAGAGTATGCAGTGTTTATTCTTAGTTTGCCCCAGTAGTACCTTTTGCAAAGTTGTAAGATTTTTGCACAACCAGAATATTGGCACCCATTCAATATAGTGATGCTGTTTCAGACTTCTTCAGTTGGACTCAAATGTATTTGTGTGTCGATGTGTACGTGGTTGTCTGTCGTCTTAGCTGCTTAGTCCTTGTGTCCACTACCACAGTCATGGTGGGGACACTTCCCCACACAGCAAGCACCCTGCACGCTCCTCTTCTGTAAATTCATCCACTCCGCACCCTAGCCCTAACCATTGGCATCCCAGAATCTGTCGCTTCATTGACAACGCACATGCTTTGCATGCATAGGTCCAGGTTTGCTCCCTGGAACCACGTGGTCCCACAGCACCTCTGGAGGCATCTCCTGTGCTCAGCCACAAATAACTGGAGCACTGTGGGGTGTGACCCAGAAACCAAAAGAACTAGGTGAATGGTTTCCATTTATAAAGGCGTATGTTTTCCATTTTGTTATTTCAAAATGTTATAAAACAGAACCATACAAGGCTCAACCCCCAGCACCCCATCATGTTGCCGGAAGTGATGCGGAAGTTCAGAGCCGAGAGTAAGTCCTGAACGCCACTGAGTGTGGCCCCAAAACAAAGAACAACAAAGACAATGGAATCATCAGTACGTGACTTCAGATTGACTTTTAAAAAATTCTTTCACTCTGCCGCATAGTTCTGTAGATTTATCCAGCTGGTCAGGTATATCAGTAGGTAACTCCTGTGTGTGTGTGTGTGTTTGTGTGTGTGTGTGTGTGTTTGGTTGGGTAGTATTCCATATTGTGTGTGTGGACCATGGTTCAACCACTTACCTGTTGAGAAAGGAAATGTATTTCTAGGCTTTGACTATTAAATACTATAAACATTTGTGCACACATTCTTTTAAAAAACAAGTTTTCATTTCTCTGGGATAAATTATGCCAAGAGGACCCAGAATTTTTGCTTGCTTGCTTTCTCTCTCTCTCTCTCTCTCTCTCTCTCTTTTTCTCTCTCTCTCTCTCTCTCTTTCTTTGTCTCTTTTTTTCTTGGTGCCGTTTTGCCATTAACTCAAATGTAGCTGATCCATGGTCATTTTTAATATATTGGTATTCTTTGTCTTTCTGGTTTTAAAAGGAGTAATTGTAAAATACTAGAAATGTATAGCGATATAAAGAAAGTGAAATTGAATACTAGGAAAACTAGTAAGATTTTTGGTGTATTTATTTCTAGTCATTTCTATGTGCATATAACTAATTTTTTTTTTCTTTTTGGGTCACACCTGGCGATGCACAGGGTTACTCCTGGCTCATGCACTCAGGAATTACTCCTGGCAGTGCTTGGGGGACCATATGGGATGCTGGGAATCGAACCCGGGTCTGCTGCGTGCAAGGCAAACGCCCTACCTGCTGTGCTATTGCTCCAGCCCCTGTAACTAATTTTTTTTCCTTGGGATTACATTCAGTAGAGCCCAGGGGCCACCAGGCTATCCTTAGTGGTGCTCTAGGGTGGTACATGGTGCCAAGCAATCTCACTTCCAGCCTCACACATGCTAGTACGTGCTCTACTACTGAGCCACATCCTCACCGTGAAATTTTATAAATTGGGCATCAAATTTTTATAGAGAGATATTTTGTTTTTGTTTCAGAGTGACTGATAGTACTCAGGGGCTACTCTCAGCCCTGGGCTCAGAGGTTGCTCCTGACAGTGCTCAGGAGAGTATGTGGTGCTGTGGATGTAGCCCAGGCCTCCTGCTTGCATGTGCCCTTTGAGCTGTCTCCTGCCCATAATATTATCTACATACAAGCTACCCGGTCTGCAGCAGTAGCACAGCAGGTAAGGCGCTTGCCTTGCATGCAGCCAACCCAGTTTGATTCCTCCTCCCCTCTTGCAGGGCCCGACAAGCTACTGAGAGTATCCCGCCCGCATGGCAAAAGCCTGGCAAGCTCCCCGTGGCATATTTGATATGCCACAAATAGTAACTACAAGTCTCACAATGGAGACGTTACTAGTGCCCGCTTGAGCAAATCGATGAACAGCGGGAGGACAGTGCTACAGTGCTGCATACTACCACATATAAACAAAAGTTGAAAGTTTACAAATTAAACTTTAAAATACTCATTTTAGCCGTTTTTATGTCTTCATTTGGGGGCTGTTCCCCCATTTTCATGCCGATGAGATAACGTGTGAGGATTTAGGATTGTATGCTCACACGTGGTATGAAACTCTCTCAGTAGATTACAGCTGGAGAATCTGCTCACCTTTTGTTTAAAGCGTATTTTAAACATTGTGATGTTCTTCCAAGGTATGCTGTGATAGCGTTCGGATGTGCGAGCTGTCCCAAATTGACCTGTGGGCGCGAAGGCTGTGGCACTGAGTTTTGCTACCACTGTAAACAGATTTGGCACCCCAACCAGACCTGCGATGCTGCTCGGCAAGAGAGAGCCCAGAGTTTACGTCTCCGGACTATTCGCTCTTCGTCCATCAGTTACAGTCAGGAGTCTGCTGCGGCAGGTATGGGACACGTGCGTGATACTTCCCTTTATTTTGGTTTGGGGACCAGACCTGACTACGTTCATAGAGCTGACTACGTTCAGGCCTCACTCCTGGCTTGGGCTCAGGGGACCATAAATTGGTGCTGGAGCTTTAATCCAGGTTGCCACATGGAAGGCAACTTAATAAATGCGTACTTTTTATAGTCTAGTAATTATCATTTTTCTTGATCTGGCTGTATAAAATTAACAGTTTTCTCAAGATTGCTGGAATCATTAAAACACTAAGAGCACTGACCAGTTCTTAAGTTAAAAAAACAGCTGTGGCTCTAGAAGAAGCCCTAAGAAAACTTGAAATCACTGATAAAGCAAAGGTAAAATTTCACCATAAAACTTTAGAAAGGAAAACAGGGTACAGCTTAATGCATATTATGTAAGAAAGTGGAACATATTGAATTGAGTGGTTAGTATTCTAAATATCTTTTCTTAACTCTATAGTTAGAATATAGAACTAATAGATAAAGTAAAGTCCTTCATTTCTGTTATCTAACTAGATGCTGAAGTTTGAAATGACTTGAGATAATTTTTTTGTGTCAGTGATTCCTAAAGTTAACCACTGCATGATTCAACTTGGCACCTTTGTGTGTTGGAATCACTGGCACAGAAGCATTTGAACAATGACTAAAAATGAGAAATTAGGTTACTCATTGAAAAGTCATCAGCATAACTTATAAATGGCTGCTTTCATCCTGAAATTGTTTTCCATTGCAAATTAACAATTGTGTTTTTAACTGTTAACCTCTTAACTCTTACCTCTATTCTGGATGCATCTGTCTCTTCAGGACTTAAAACACAACGGGGGCTGCCTTTCTAAGGTGTCTGCAATGCTGATAGCTGATGTTACTTAGAAGCAAACTCTGTGCTTGGTGCCTAAAGGTTCAGATCAATGACAGATTGATCTCAGTGTTCTTTCACTAATGGAACAGCAGATAGCTACTTTTTAATTACATGAAGATGGATAGAAAAGTTCTAGAACTTGAAATGCCAGGCAGAGAAGATCGCTCTGGAGTAGGGACAAAGAGAAACTTGATGTATGATTCACATTGACCTTGTTCTTGGTTCTCTTGTATTGGCTTGGACTTTGTTTTCCCCCCTTGCTCTACTCTGTTTGAAAAATGTTTACCATTTACATTTTAGCGTAAATTCTACGTTACATTTCCTTTCTCAGAAGAGAAAACTGTGTTATGTACTTGAAGTAGCTAAAGCTATCATTTCACAATTTCCATGTGTTCAGATTTGGTTATAGTCAGTTTCATGCACTAAAGAGGTCTCTTTCCCTTCCTAATAGCTGATGATATCAAACCATGTCCACGCTGCGCCGCTTACATAATAAAGATGAACGATGGCAGCTGTAATCACATGACTTGTGCCGTCTGTGGTTGTGAATTTTGTTGGTTGTGCATGAAAGAAATCTCAGATTTGCATTATCTAAGGTAAGCTTTCAGAAGTAGCTATTAATATTCTCTAAATGTAATTTCATATTATAAAACAGAAGGACTTTTAATTGGGGGAGAAGTTAGCTTCCAATTCTCTTTCTGGGACGTGTGCTCCAGGGATTGAATCCAGGACTGTTGGGTAACATTGCTTTGTCCTTCAAGAAGCTTAGGTTTTATCTGGTTACACCCATCAATCTGGTTACACCCACCTCAGTGCTCCAGAGGCACTTCCACTTCCATTGTGTTTACATGTAAACATGTAAACAGTCTTTCCTATGCTCTCCTTCCCACCCAGTTAATCAGCTTTCCCCTTAATCAGACTTTGTTAATTTGTAAGACCAGTTTCCCAGAAATCTATGATTTTATATGTATCAGTGAAATATTGCCTTTCTCCTCTCCTTATGCCTAATGAACAGTTTACCTTAAAGTAATATCCTTTTTGTATAGATACAGAAAGACTGTTAGCATTATGCTTTGTAATTTAGGATTTGATTGGCCTTGAATATTATTCACTCCTGGGCATCTGCTTTCTCGACTTAAGCCTCAGTTGCCCATAGTTCCTAACACCCCAAAAGCAGGGTCCCGACGAGGGACTGAATGGACCCAGGGCAAGCAGTGAGCTACCCTGGCAGCGAAATGGGCCAGGCCAAGGTGCCACGATTCTTAACTATAAGTTAAGAGTTTGATCATAGACAAATGCTGTCATGATCCAAAGGTAACGACAAGACTAGGATCCTGCTAGGGGTGGGGAAGACTATCTGGCCTGAGCACCGTAGTCTGAGATCAAGATGGCCCTAGGAGAGCAATTCTATAAGTTTAAGATATTTCTTACTGTATCCATACAAAATGATTTATATTATATTCTTGTATGCTTGTTGGACAAGGGGAGGAGAGGCACGCCCATGGGATTATGCTCTAGGGTGGGTCCTCCTGCTGAGGAAGGATCTGTCCTAGGAGCGGTCTTCCCTGAGGCTAAGATTTCTACCCCTGTTGATTTCTACCCCTATTGATTGTGACCACACCTATGTGTAATTGTTTCCCCAATTCCTCATGGAGAGAGGATTTAACTGTACTGTAGGAGTGAGACAGGGGCAGAAAGAAGGAAGAAGAGAGTTCAGAGAGGATCAGAACCCAGACTCCAGAGAAGGAGGATGAAGGGGAATGGAGAAGGAGAATGAAGTAGCTGGGGGAGGAAGAAAGGGGGCAGAGATAGAGAGACAGATGAGGAGAGAATCAGAATAAACTACGACTAGTACCTACCAGCCTGGCCCTCGTTCCTTCCTCTGCCTGACCATCGCCATCGACCTCTCCGGGGTGGTAGAAGGGTGAGACTACCGAACACGGGTGGCGGGAGAGATAGAGCCGCCGCCTTGTGGGTGCAGTGCCCCCCACCTTGTGAGAGCATGCGCTCTTCCAGGCATGCGCTCTCCCACTGAGCTGAGTTCCTGGCTTTTTAATTCTTAAGTTTCCCCCCCTTACCCCCCCCCCCCGCCCCTAATTCCTAATTACATAAATTTAAAAGCAGCCCATTATGCTAGTCATTTGGGATTTACAACTAAAAACCAAAAATGAAATTTCAAAATATAAATTTTAAGAAAAGGGGCCAGATGAAATAGTCCAGGGTAAAGGCACTTGCCTTGCACACGACACACTGTGGTTTGATTCCCAGCATCGTGTCTAGTCCCCAAGGATCTCGAGGAGTGATCCCTGAACACTAAGCTACGAGTAAGCCCAGAGAACTGCTGGGTGTGGCTCCGAAAACCAGTGATCCCTGATTATCACCACATGTGACCCCAAAAACAGGAACAAAACGAAACTTCTTTTATAGATACTGCTTTAGTCTTTTCCCTTTTTGGAAACACCATCAATGCTTAAGGCTTACTCCTGGCTCTGCGCTCTGGAATCACTCCTGGCAGGGGATCGTATGGGGTGCCGGGATCGAACCCAGGTTGGCTCTGTGCAAGACTGGCACCCTACCCACTGTGCTGTCTTCCCCGGCCCTTACTGTAATGTACTATAGATGTTTGCTAGATGTTTTGCAACAGCTACTTCACATTTCATTTTTTTCCTTTAGTCCATCAGGATGTACTTTCTGGGGGAAGAAACCTTGGAGCAGAAAGAAGAAGATATTGTGGCAGCTGGGAACCCTTGTTGGCGCTCCCGTCGGAATTGCTTTGATCGCTGGCATTGCTATCCCTGCAATGATCATTGGCATTCCTGTGTATGTGGGCCGGAAGGTAAAATTCTAGCTTCATTCATGATCTCATTCTAAATCTTTAGCTTTAGAACTGATGGCGTTCACATTATTATTTTTTATTGGTTTTGAAAGACAAAGGCAATTTTTAGTGTTCAGTATAAAGCAATTACTATTTTTCCACAAGATAAATTTTTAGTGTTTGGTAAGCTCCTATGTATGTATACGGAATCGTCTTGTTTTCAAACTGTCTGGATCTGAAAACCTCAGCATGTTTGTATTAGAAATCAATTTTATTAAATTTGAAATATTTAGTGATAAACATCTGACATGACGTATATCCTTGTAAAGTCAGATAAATTAAGAAGTTAATAAATAATTTGTATCCTAAAGCAAATAATTATTAGCTAGCTCCTGAATTATTTAGATAAAAACTTTTTTCCCTCAAATTACGATTAGTAAATATAGTCTTCTGCAGATTGTGGCTATCTTGTAGATAACTCCAGTATCTACAGCTGCCTGCAAATGATGAATTATACTTCACTAGTTAAATAGTTCTTCTTAGAAATGATAAAGGAATAATTTATGATGTGATTTAAAGTATGTTGCTGTCTAATCTAGTAGAATCTTAGAATTGTGAAGTAATTTGAAGAATTGTGAAATGATCTTAAAAACCACCTAACCCAAACCCTACACCTAAGGAGAACAACAAAGCACAAGAATTCGAAAGGAAAGTTCTAAACTCTTATGTCTGATAGATATTATACATACTTTGACTCACTTTAAACTCAACAACAATTTGTGTGTTATAGAGGTTTAGGAAAGTTTATGCAGTTTATCTCAATTACATACAAAGTAGTAAAACTGAGATTTAAACCCAGATGCATAAATTCATTAAATTCACCCCTTATCTAAAACAGTTTATTTAAGACAGTTTCATTCATGACATTTGGACACTATTGACAGAAAGCCAGCCGCTCCTGAGGCAGGTCATTCTGCTGTCAGGTAGCTGTAAATTGTTGAGAAATTCCTATGTTGAGTCAGTGTCTGCTCCCTATCAACTATTTCATTTGGTTTTAGTTCTGTCTTTCCAGCCCATACTCACTACAGGTCTTATCCTCTCGTAGCCAACAGCCATTTTATTTTTTATATTCTACACACGTTACTCCTGTAGTCAGAAAAATAGCAAGCTATACTATTTTTTAAATTAGTTTTTGAATAAAAATAAACAGATATTTGTGAGTTAAATGTTTATTTCAGAAGGCTTTAAGGGGATACAGATTGCTTAAAGTCCCACAGAGGCGATTATCATAATATTCCATTTAATTGACCAAAGCCAGCTGTGGCTAAGAACAGGGCTGTTTGTTCAGGTACTTTGAAATCGAAGTAGAAGGGAAAGAGAGACTCATTCTGTGTGCACTTACGAATAATTCATAGAGGAGAGATAATCTACCTCATTGTTCAAGTGTGAGATGCACTTCCAAGACTTCTTTTTTCAAGCATGTACATACCCAATGGTAGCACTTCAATGAATTAACTTTCTGTTGAAACTGTGTTTTTATGGTGTTTAGGGATCCATACCATTCAGGAAAACCTGTTGGTAAAGAACCAAAGCCTGAGCCTTTATTTACAATAACAAATTGAAAATGTGGTGAGAGGTAGTCAGAAATACTAATTTCACCCAGAAGTAGTAGAAATAGTAGAATAGTATGGTTGCTGTATATTGAACATTGGTGCTTGAGGAGGAAATTTCTTCTAGAAAGTTCCTTTCTCTTGGGAGCTTGTCCTTACAAGCCCTACTCTTTCGATGTTAGTTTTGGCTATTTCTACTTTAGGTTAAGTTTTCCAGGAATGGGAATGGGAGGAGCAAGAAATAGTTGCAGTTTGTTCTGAAGAAGAATGAAAGTGCCTTGGGAAGGTCTCATGAACAATTTAGGGCACAATTTAGGCCATCAAAGCTGGGAAGCGGGAGCAGGATCCGGAGAGATAGTCCAGTGGATTGGGCACTTGCATGCGCTGACCCAGCCAGGTTCAATCCCTGGCAATCCATATAGTTCCCCCGGCCTGCCATGAGTGACCTCTGAGTACAGAGCCAGGAGTCAGCCCTGAGCACCACTGGGTGTGGCCCAAATAAACCAAAAGAAATTTAAATAAAAAGTGAGGGACAGAACTTGAGCAGGAAGCTGAAATGTTCCTTATCCTAGGCATGCTTCGCCCACCTTCCTCCCGTCTTTCCACTGTTCAGTGTGTCTCACAGGATTGATTTTATTTTATATTCTCCAAAATAAACACATAATAACAGCAACTCATTTTATTGTATTTCAGCTTTAATACTGTTTTATAAGTCAGATATTTTCATTTTGAGATTGCCTGTACAATTAGAGGCTGAATCTTAAAATGGAGGATGAAATCATAGCCTTCTCTCTTATAAGTCATATGAGCAGACACCAAACTATTTCCCAAATACCTCACAAGCCACTTTTCACAGATAGATTATATTCTGTTTAGTAGCACCTGTCCCATATAAAGTTGTTAGGTAGATTAACTCCTGTCTTCTGAAGCATTAATTTCCTTTTGTCTCTTTCTGTATCCTCCTTCAACTCGTAAATGGGAGCTCAGGATCCTGAGTTATTTGGTATTTTTCTCAGAAAGGAACCTCAAAAAAACTTGGCTTGAATTGTGATCTTTAGCTATTATTACTACGTTTAAAGGTCAATTTAAAAATGAATATGGGGTCCAGAGGGATTGTACAGGGTCTGCAGTGCTTGCCTTGCATGTAGCCAGCCCGAGTTTGCTCCCCCAGTCCCGTCGTCTCACAAACACAGTCAGGAGTGGCCCCCGAGCACTGAGCTAGGAGCAGCCCAGAGCCCTGTCAGTCCCCACCCCCAAAAACTTACAGGAAGTATAGATCATTTAAATTCAATGTTCATTTTCTCCTTAAACTCACTCCTGTTTTTATTTTTAATTCAAGATTCATAATCGATATGAAGGCAAGGATATTTCCAAGCACAAACGGAATTTGGCCATAGCTGGTGGCGTGACATTGTCTGTGATTGTATCTCCAGTTGTCGCTGCAGTGACTGTAGGTAAGGAAATGCTTTGAAATACTTGTTACCTCACTTTGTATAGGCAAAGTTCATAGAGGGATTTTCAAAGAGCCGAGCATTATGTTTTTGACCACAGGAGTCACGCTTTAATTTATTAGGACAGTTTATGCTGAGCTGTAGAAAAATTCAGTAGCTGTTGGTTAAAAGTGTTATAGACTTGGGGCTGGAGCAATAGCACAGCGGGTAGGGCGTTTGCCTTGCACGCGCCCGACCCGAGTTCGATTCCCAGCATTCCATATGGTCCCCCGAGCTCCGCCAGGGATAATTCCTGAGTGCAGAGCCAGGAGTAACCCCTGTGCATTGCCGGGTGTGACCCAAAAAGCAAATAAATAAAAGTGTTAGAGACTCAAGAACCTATATTTCAGACCTTTCTCCCCTTCCTATGTATCACCTGAAAGGCATGGTAGTTTTGAATTTGTTCATGTCCCTTAACTGATCAAACCCACTTTTGACAGGTTGCATAGGCCTAGTGTCAACCCTCACACTCTTCCCTTGTATGTTGATTTTTGAAACGACTATGACTTACTCGTTTGTGTTTATAATGACTAACTTAATTCCTCTCTAGGTATCGGTGTCCCTATTATGTTAGCTTATGTTTATGGCGTCGTTCCAATTTCTCTCTGTCGAAGTGGAGGTTGTGGAGTCTCAGCAGGCAATGGGAAAGGAGTCCGGATTGAATTTGATGATGAAAATGATATCAATGTTGGTGGAACTAACACAGCTGTAGGTAAGTCCTTTAAACAGCAAAAAGAAATGTCCTTTCTGTTACTTTTAAGTGGGGGGAGGTTGTAGGTAACACGCGAGTCAGGGTTTGCTTGCCCTCCTTTTATGAGGCCTCGGGCTCATCCCGCAACGTGAGCTGCCAGGGGAGATTATCAGTGAAAGCAGACGGAATAATTTTGGGTTCCAAATCTCCGGAAAAAAAGCATAGAAACTTGAGACTTTTAATCTTAAACTTTGCCTGAAATATTACAAATTAGTAAGAAAAGAACTTGAGTTTTCCAGGATTCAGCTTTCGGACTGCATGTCTCGGTTTGTGCCCACTCCCCAGATGTTCTCTGTTGGTTAGGGGGACTGTTCTTAAATCTGCATCTAGTCTGGAATTCTCCCTTGAACTTTGCACTTGACATCTGACTCTCCTCTCTAATCTGTGCTTGGTTGTCTCAACAAGAATTTCAAGCCTGACCTGTCTAGAGGACTCTCCAGTCTAAAACCTGTTATTCTTACTTTAATAAGTTACTTCCCCATTCTTACTGTCACTCGGAACCAAAACCTTTCCTTAGACTGACTCCCCATTTTCTCTTGTTACTTACATCTGATCCATCAGCAAATTCTGCTGCTTCCTTAAGCATTTAGATATCATCCGACCATTTCTCACCTGTCTCCGTCACTATTTTATTCATTCAAGCTTTTGTTCTCTTTTGTAAACCATTGCAGCCCCTTAACCGATCCATTAGCTTCTCATTCACTATTCCACAGCACAGTTGTAGTGAAAATTTTTAAACAAAGTAAATTGTTTGCCACTCACCTTTAAATAGCGTTAAATATGCTAAGGGAAAAAAAATCAAGATCCTTATTATCGCCCATGGGGACCCAGGCTGCCTCTCTGAACTTCCTCCTGTGTCCTATTTCATACTGCTCTTCTTGATGTTCCCTAAGATGACAAGCACACCTATTTCTAGGGATTTAGGGCTTATTCTTTACTTGCTCTGGTCTTACAAATATTACCTTATGGAACCAGAGAGATGGTCTAGGGGTTAAGGCACTTGCCTTGTACACAGCCAACCCCAGTTTGATTCTCAGTATCACATATGGCCCCCGAGGCCCCACTAGGAATGATCCCTCAGCACAGCCAGGTGTGGCCCAAAACCCAAATAATGACGGTGATGATGATGATGATGATGATGATGATGATGATAAATAGGGTCACGAACTCACCAATCGAAAGACAAAAGTGTCTTTTAAATCAGAAAACAAAAGCCAACCTGCTCTCTGGGAGACTCTTGAGTTCTAGTGATAATTATAGACTGAAAATAAAAGCTTAGAAAATGATCATGCAGACAGGTGGTAGTCTAAAAAAGTCAGGGAGAACATAATTTACGTCAGATAAAATAGGCTGGAGCGATAGCACAGCGGGTAGGGCGTTCGCCTTACACGCGGCCAACATGGCCGACCCGAGTTCGATTCCTCCGCCCCTCTCAGAGAGCCCAGCAAGCTACCGAGAGTATTCGATATGCCAGACACAGTAACAACAAAGTCTCCAATGGAGACGTTACTGGGCCCGCTCGAGCAAATCGACGATCAGCGGGAGGGCCTTTAGGGATGGAGCGATAGCACAGCGGTAGGGCGTTCGCCTTACAAGCGGCCAACATGGCCGACCTGAGTTCGATTCCTCCGCCCCTCTCGGAGAGCCCGGCAAGCTACCGAGAGTATTGGATATGTCAGACACAGTAACAACAAAGTCTCCAACGGAGACGTTACTGGGCCCGCTCGAGCAAATCGACGATCAACGGGAGGGCCTTTACCTTTTTACCTAAAATAGACTTCAGATTTGAAGAAGGTAGCAAGAAGCAGGAATGGACATAGTACGATAGAATGACCTAATCAGTCCCTGGAAGACTCATGCTCTCCACATGTGTACCTGACAACAGAGATCCTTGCTCATGAATTGGAAGAATTAATATGATCAAAATGACCACCCTATCCTGTCAGATTTAAAGCTATTCCTTTCAGAATCCAGTGATATTCTTCAAGGAAATAGAATAAACACTACTGAAATGGAATGGAACCACAAAAGTCCCTAACTAGTCAAATCAAGCCCAAGACCAAAGAATGGTGGCCTCACTCTTCCCCGGCCCCCAACTCAAACTATACTCCAAAGAAAACTATCCTCCAAAGCAACAGTAATCCAATGATATGTGCCAGTGGGATGGAATTGAGAACCCAGAATTAAATACTCTCACATGTGGGCAGTTAATTTATGACATGAGCATTAAAGCATGAAAATCTAGTACCCGGTACTAGGAAAGCCAGGTAGTGGTAGTACAGCAGATGGGACAGTATGGCCTTACATCCCAGTAGTAGGCCCCCAGCCCTTCTAGGAGTAATTCCTGAGCTCGCAGCCATAAATAAGCCCTGAGCACAGACAGGTGTGGGCTCTCCACCCCTGAAAAAGGATGAAATAGGGCCATAATCTGATACTATACACACAAAAAAGTTAATAAACTAGGTTCAAAACGTGGATGGTAGATCTGAAACCATAAAGTACGTAAAAACAAACAAACAAAAAAAACAGGCAAAACACTCCGTGATACTGATTTTCTGTGGTGTATTTGGGAGTTTTTCTCCAACAGAAAAGTAACAAGAGCAAAAATTAATGAGATTGTATGAAAAGCAAACAAGAAACTTCACAGTTAAACTATCATTAAAATGGGAAAGAGGGGCCAGAGAGCTGATGAGCTGAGCACCTACTTTGCATGTAGGAAAGTGGCCTGGGTTCAAGCCCCAACATTCCATATGGGCCCCAGAGCACTGCCAAGCACAGAGTAGCCCCAGGGCACCACCAGGTGAGGCCCAAATACCAGAAAAAAAACAACAAAACAAAAAAAGCCCAATAACAAAACAGAAAAGACAGGGTGCTGGGGAATTTGCTTAAGTTCCCACATATGCTTAGCATGTGTGAAGTGCTAAATTCTATCCCTAGAACCTCACAGGACCTTGAGCAGCACCAGGTGTATTCCTGGTGACCCTGATGCAACACAGGGTATGCTGCAATTGGGTCACCAAGGCCTTAGCACCTTACCACCAGCATGAGTATCACCAGAAATTGCCTCTATAATAAAAAGCAAAGCACAGAAATGAAAAGGTAGAAAGAACTACTGGGGCTGTAGGCCAGTGACAAGGGGTGTGTGTGTTTGTGTGTATGAGGCCCTGGATTCCACCAAAAACAAATAAAAGGTACCCCCACGAATGGGGAAAAAATAATTGCACAGAAGGCTAATATCCAAGGTGGAATTAATGAAATTCAGGGAAAAAAAAAAACAGAATAGGGAGAAGAAGTGAACAGATACATCTCCAAAGACAGCATACAGGTGGCCAACAGGCTCATGAAAAAAATAGTATCACTTAATCGGGAAAATGCAAATCAGAACAACAGCAGGATCATCTCACTCCTGTAAAAAGTGGCTCATTAAAAAAAAAAGTAGTGTATTTTTTATTTTTAGTATTCTCATTGGGATTACAAATTGATTCAGCCTTTGAAAAATTTTTGGATTTTTTAAAAGCTATTAAAAATAGCCAGAGTATAGCAGAGGAGGGAGTCAAGGTGCAGGGTGGAATAGCGCTGGGCTCCTGGAAAAGATGAAGCCTTGCCATTTGTCACACGGCGAACGGAGCAGGCTGTGCGAATCCTCACAGTCAGGCAGGAAGAAGACACGTAGCTGAGTATCTCACTCGGACACAGAAGTAGAAACAGTCCAAGCCAAACTCGGAACTGGAGAGCTGAGACTTTGGGGGAGGGATACAGAGAACTGCGATGTAGGAACGTGGATGCTGCTGGCAGGTATAGTGTGGTCATAGATACTTCGGAGAAGTTGAAATTAGACCCCTAACACACAGCATTAGTCATGCAAATTGGGGTCTGTCTTTTAATCCAGGTTGAGTCTCAGTTATTCCTCTTGGGGTCAGAGAGAGCTCAGTAGCTCAGTGAGCTGAGCGCGGGCTTTGCCTATGGGTGACCCGGATTTGATCCCCTGCATCACATGGTCTCCCAGGCGCCACCAGGCATTACCCCAGAACAGCAGCCGCAACAACAATGACTTTTCTTTACTCTGTTCCTGTCTTTGTTTTATGCTTTTCAGGGCGCAAAAATGATAGTACCCTTTGGAAGCCATGGGGCACTTAGAGAAAAAAAAGTAATAAATGGACTAATCTCCTTGAAATATTTGCATTTAGATACAACTTCCGTAGCAGAAGCAAGACACAACCCGAGCATAGGGGAGGGGAGTGTCGGTGGTCTCACTGGCAGCCTGAGCGCCAGTGGGAGCCACATGGACCGCATTGGGGCCATCCGTGACAACCTGAGTGAAACGGCCAGCACCATGGCCCTAGCCGGGGCCAGCATCACAGGCAGTCTGTCTGGAAGTGCCATGGTGAACTGCTTCAACAGGTATGAAATGGGTCTGTGCTGCGTCTGCCCCTTCCCTTAGCTACGAAGTATTTGTTAGGTTTAGAATTTTGAGCACAGAAGCACCCTAATTGCATGTGACTCTCGAATGTCAGGATTGACAACAGCGATATTAAAAAATAACAGTGCTGCAGTAAGCAGTAAGTAGATTTTTGCATGTTTGATTTTTCTGTCTCAGCTGTGCCCAAGGTAGGATAAAACTTGGGCATAACCTTCTGCCTGTCAGATTTGATGTTCTGTGTCACTGCTGGAGCTGTTTCAGCGGACACGATCCAGACAGTGCGCAAGCCTGAGCCCCACCTGGGGCGGAAATGAGGTGTGGGCGGTTAGCTGGGAGCAGGTGAGCCAGTGCACCTGGGATGCTCTGGGTTCGTTCACCGGACCTCTTCCTGAAGCCAGCGAGGGCGCCTGGAAAGGTGGTGCTTTTCTTGTCGGGGTAGGCTGCACGTGGCAGTGCTTCGGGCTGCTCCCTGTCCCCAGCCTCTCCAGCTCAGGGAATCGGACTGCTGGGGGCTGAACGTGCCCTTCTCCCCTGGGGAGACAGCACAGGGCCAAGGGACTTGTCTTGCACGTGGCCGACATAGTCTCCACCCCAGCACCACATATGGGCTCGAGCACAGCCAAGCGTGATCCCTGCGCACGGCTGGGTGCGGCCCGGAAACAAGCCCTTGCGCTCCAGCCCTGTGAGCTGTCTCCTTGGCCTGGATTAAAGCATCATCTTGGTTTTCTTTTTGACTTTCGTTTTCACTTTAATTCACTGTTTTTCAGTTCCTTATTAGTCCTGTTTTTTAAAGTCTTTGAGAGGTAAGAGAGGGTACATAAATTTAAGAAATATGTCAATCTTATATGTGCCCCATTACATCTACATTTTAAAGCTGTAGATTATACCTTATTGAAAGAATCAGATATATATGTTATTACTGTTTATTGTAGTTTTTTAGAAATATAGAGCGCAGCATTTTTGTTTGTTTGGGGGCTACACCTGTCAGTGCTCAGGGTCTACTCCTGGCTCTGCACTCAGGGATTCTTCCTTGTGGGGCTCAGCATACCACATGGTGTGCCAGGGATTGCCAGTTTGACTGTGTTGAAGACAAGCACCCTACCCCTTGTACTGTCTCTCCAGTCCATTATCCTTTGATTCATTACTCTGTCGTGTGCAATAGTTGATAATGTGTTCAGATTTTGTATTTAGTTCTCTGTAACATAGCAGGCAAAGCACTACAGTGCAGTTGAGAATAATGAAGCCTACTTAACTTAAAATACTTTTGTGTCTTTTTTTTAAATGTTGCTCTCTTACTACCTTACTTAGAAAGCAGTGAATTTCCCCCTGTTATTTGCATAGCTGGTACTGTTTGGTGTGCTTCGGTAGAATTTCACTAACCAAATAATAGGAAACTAAGAAAACGTATTACAGTTGTGTCCAGACTAGTTTCTTGTTACTAGGATTCATAGCAGAATTAAAGATGCATATTACAGTAGCAGTGCCATCATATATAACTTTGTTTTTCTCTGATACCCCTTCTTTAAGGTTGGAGGTGCAAGCAGATGTACAGAAAGAACGTTCTAGTCTAAGTGGAGAATCTGGCACTGTCAGCCTGGGGACAGTTAGTGATAATGCCAGCACCAAAGCAATGGCAGGATCCATTCTGAATTCCTACATCCCTTTGGACAAGTAAGGAAAGAAACATTAGAAAATCAAAATGTGTTCAGGTTTGGGGAGGCTCATGGTGGGAGATACTTACCGGCAGAGCTCGGGGCCCAGGAACAATGCCAAGTAATATTTAGTCCGTCTGTGGGACCTGGAGTTTAAAAAAATTTTTTTAAGTCTAAAAAGTATAAAAAGCATTAATCCTATAATTAGGCGAGTTCCCACAAGTGATGATTGCAGCTAGTAGGTTCTCTGGGAAAATTACCTGTTGGCGTGTCCAGGAAGCAAGTCTATCGAGAGTGCGAATGATGTGAGTCGTCACTAGTAGGATTGGGGGAGAAGGGGGCCTGGCTGCTAAGTGAAGCGTTTCTTGGGGTGGGGACGAGACAGTGGTCACAGTGCACAGCTCTGTGAAGTACTAAGGAGCACTCTCGAGAGAGGTGAGCTCTCTGGCCTGTAGCCTGGAAGAAACGAAAACCGGAAAGGTAGTCAGACGTGGGGAACGGCAGACGCGGCAGAAGTAGCTGCTGCTTGCCCTCCTCCTTCCGTGAAGGCAGGCCCCAGGTGTCCTGCGGTGCTTTTTCAGGGCAGTATCCCAGACTGGTGTGTTCTGAGGCTAGTCTTTCAGCCCAGGTCACCCAGGGCACAACAGCCATCCCGCATAACCCGCGTTTGTTCTCTCCCGCCCAGAGACGGCAGCAGTATGGAGGTGCAAGTGGACATTGAGTCCAAGCCGTCCAAGTTCAGGCACAGCAGCGGGAGCAGCAGCGTGGAGGACGCCAGTGGTCCCCGGAGTCATGCGGCCGGCCCCGCCAGCGGCCTGCCTGAGGGGAAGTCCGGCGCCCCCAAGTGGTCCAAAGAAGCTCCGGCAGGAAAGAAGCCCAAAAGTGGCAAACTGAGGAAGAAGAGCACCATGAAGATAAACGAGACCCGCGAGGACATGGACGCGCAGCTGCTCGAGCAGCAGAGCACGAACTCCAGTGAGTTTGAGGCGCCATCCCTCAGCGACAGCGTGCCCTCTGTGGCCGAGTCCCACTCGAGTCATTTTTCTGAGTTCAGCTGCTCCGACCTGGAAAGCATGAAAACGTCCTGTAGCCACGGGTCCAGTGACTACCATGCTCGCTTTGCCACCGTCAGCATTCTTCCCGAGGTGGAGAACGACCGACTGGAAAACTCCCCACACCAGTGTAGCATTTCTGTGCTCCCCAAGACGGCCTCGTGTCCAGACGGCCCACAGTCGGCTCACAGTGCTGAGGAGCACGGCAGCAGCGGGATGAAACCCAAGGTGGACTTGTACTTTGGGGATGAACTCAAAGAAACCAATAACAACCACTCACGCCAGACAGTGGAGTTAAAAGTTGCAATTCAGACTGAAATCTAGGCCTCTAAATGCTGCAAAAATCATAACCACTGAACAACCTTGTTCGGGGCTCGTCGAACTATATGTGACAACTCGTAAGTTTCAAGTTACCAGCAAATGCCGGGTTACATGATGCTCATGCAGATCCTTCTTCTGTGTTCAGCAAAGCATTGTCTTTCACGTGGATCTTAAATTACCTGACCCTGAAAAGAAGGCTTTAAAAATGTACTCTTGTAAGGACAAAAGATCTGCAGAGAAGTTCTATGTTTTGTGAATTTGCCACAAAGCATTGCTTGAAGCACATACTTGTATATTTAGATAGAATTTGGCTTAATTTATACTCCATATAAAATACTAATGCAGCATTCTGGTGGAGAAAACTTGAGACTTAGGGAGAAGTGGTTAGTGACATTTTATTGAAACCACTATAGGATACTGTTTATAGGATACTTGCCAGGTTACCCTCAGTATATGATATTCTTTGTAATGTTTCTATAACTCAGCATAAAATTCATTTCTTCATACATGTGGATATATAAAGCTTCGCAGCCCATTTGCTACCATTTGGATACTTGGACACTTTGAGCAAGATTGTGGCAGTTTTTGCACAACTTTGAAATAGAAATATCTGGTACTCTATTTATCTTGTGTATGGTTGATGCCATCAGTAGAAGAAAAGTATAAAAGTAGGTAGTGAAGTATATTGACAGCACCAAATGAGATACATAAAACTGCAAAATAAAATTTCATTTGTAAGTATTACAGAAAAAAACACCTTCCACTAAGGGGCCTCTCTGCCCCGTTGATCCTCGGTGCCTTTGAATAGACTGGATTTTAAGGGCCCAGTTGCTTGAGAATTTTGCTGTATTGTTTTCCATAGTGTCCTCTATAGCACCTTGATTATGTAAAAAAATACAGGATAAACATAAGTATGATTAATAACAATGCTGAAAAAAGTGTTAGCCTACCAAAGACACACTCAGGCTTTTGTGACTATCTTTACATAACCTCATTTTTTAATACATGCGTACCTTTCCCAATCATGAAGTCAGAGCTTTGTGTCGAGCTTAGATCAATTGCTAAGGAGGGTCCACATAGGGCTGGTTTTCTTTGCTTTTGCTTTTGTTTATGGAAGACGTTTAGCTGACATAAGCAGAAGTTGGCCAAAATACTGCCTGTACTGTTAATTTCCTGTATAATTTCTCTTAAATAAAACAGGTTAACCTCAATTACAGCAGTGAAAACTTTCCATCCTACGTGTTTTTTTATAAGTGTTACCATGATGGTGCTACTGAGCATTTTTTTTTAATAAAAAATGCCATGGGCTGCAGTCTTCTTAATCACTTTTTCTTACAGGTTCACCCAGCTTAGAACACTAGTGCCAGTTATTTTATTTGATTATGCTTATCGTATTTATATATTTGTTTGCATTCCAATTTTGTTCAGTAGTGAGTGTGTAAACTGCATACATGAAATAAATGTAAATACTGATGTATTGCTGCCTTATGGTTTGTGCACAGGTGTGTTTTATAAATACAGAAATAATCATTTGTCATGTAATAGTTATTCATGAGTATTACAAGCCATCAAGATAATTTTTCAAGGGGCTGGAGCAATAGCACAGCGGGTAGGGCGTTTGCCTTGCATGCAGCCAACCCGGGTTCGATTCCCAGCATCCCATATGGTCCCCTAAGCACCGCCAGGGGTGATTCCTGAGTGCAGAGCCAGGAGTAACCCCTGTGCATTGCCGGGTGTGACCCAAAAAAAATAAAAGATAATTTTTCATCCAGTTTGAAGGGAAGGATAGCTGACGTTGTTGTTAACAGTGTTTCAAACCAAACTTTTTTCATGAGTCATTCCAACCTCTTCAGAAAGAGGCAGTTTTCTGCTTCAACATGAAGTATATTGATTGGAAAATAAGCATTCTAACATTAAGTGGTGAAAAGATACAATAGATATAAATCCTCACTTTAAAGGTAAAACAAAAATCTTAAAAGAGTAGAACATTCTTGAGGCCAGAGAGATAGTACAGCGGGTAAGGCGTTTGCCTTGCATACAGCTGACCTGGGTTCAAGTCCCAGCACTCCATATGGTCTGAGCACCACCAGGAGAGATCCACGAGTACAGAGTCAAGTGTCAGCCCAGAGCATTGCTGGGTGTGGCCAGAAGCAAAACAAAAGTTCACCCCCTAAGCAGTTAACTATGAAACTAAACAAACACAAACACTATCTCCCCCCCCCCCCCCCCCCCCCCCCCCCGCCGTTGTTCATCAAGCGGGCCCAGTAACATCTCCATTTTGAGACTTATTGTTACTGTGTTTGGCATATCGAATACGTCACAGGTAGCTTTCCAGGCTTTGCTGTGCAGGCGAGATACTCTGGGTAGCTTGCCAGGCTCTCTGAGAGGGGTGGAGGAATCGAACCCGGCTCAGCCGGGCTGGCTGCCTGCAAGGCAAACGCCCTACTGCTCTGCTGTCACTGAAACTGGAGCCATTTAAATTCGAGGGAACAATAATGAAATTTTTTAGTCTTACCAGCTTCTGTAATATTCGTACATTTTTTCCTGTTATCCTGTCACGTAGTTCATAGTTGGTGAAAACTTGGAGCTGCAGATACAGCACAACAGTCTGCAACGCGCCAAACAAAATTCACAGACTATTTGAAAACATTCACTCCCTCCCTGACTTTTTTATAAAAGAGACTAAAGATGAAAAGCCCAGCAAAAGCAAAGCCATGTTGGGAGGCCACTGCATCTCTGTCAACCCATCTGTCATTCTGTGGGTTGTCCCCCACCCCCTTCACCCAGCACCCAGCACTTTACAAAAGGGTCCAAACCTTTCAACAGCCTTCAGAAGTTCTTTCCACACCAAGGACTCCCTCAGAATTGGACTGAGTAAAACATACTCCCATTACTCTGAAATTCCACTCTAGAATCGCTCAGAAACAACTGAGCAAGTTGCACGGGCAGGGGAGAGGGGGGTGGTGCGGACCCCTGACCCCAAAGGAGCTGAGCCAGGTCACATCCTGGCACTGAAGCTTGACTGACACTGACAGTGTTGGCCATGGGCCACCAGAAGTGGATCCCCAGCATTTCTTGGAAGAACCACCCACCCCCCTCCCAAGTAGTTTGGGTTTGGGGCCACTCCTGGCCATGCTCAGAAACTCTTCCAGCTCTTGGGTGCTAGGGAAGGGTCCTGGAACTCTGTGCCATGTGGGTGCCCTCCAGCGCTTTGAACCATCCATTTTGGCCCCCAAAGTCTCCTCAAAGCCTACCATACCCTCAAGTCTGTAACTGAAAAATCATGGTTACGGAGGAGAAGAATCAAAGAGCATGCTGGAATACCCTACTGTTCATTGTGTAGACCAGCGTTTTTCGACTAGGGGTGTGTGTGGCCCCCTGAGAGGCCTCCAGGATATTCCAAGCTGGCCACAAATGAAAATGATGTAAATGAGGCCAGGGAGCCAATCAGGATATGTGGACTATCCTGTCCAGGAAGGAAGCAAGGGTGGAAGGGTGCCACAGTTGGGTGGATGCAGGGAGCTGAGAAACACCGGCATAGACACACAGTTTAACTGGATTGTCTTAAATGTACAAATTCCCAGCTTCATAGCACCGAATCCACTTAACGTTCAACATAGTCTTACCGAGACTGATTTCTCTGGGAATCTGGCTAATTCGTTAATACTGCGAAGCAAGTGGTCTAGTCAAGTCCAAACTCAGTGTGTCCAGCGGTGGGCAGCCAGCAGAAACCAGGGCCTGGGGCAGGTGAAACAGGCTCTCAGACCACTGACAACAGTACAAACGCTGAGCAGCCTCCAGATTCCAGCTCATACCAGGCTCTCGACAGTGGCCAGAATGTGCCTGCGGTAGCGAGGAGAGAATGAGGGCAAGGTAAAGTCTGGTGACTTCGTAGACGTCCACTCCTCCAGGGTATCACATGTGTTGGCGCTGGCGTGTGCCCAGGAAGCAGCAAGAGGAGCAGAGAAGGGAAGAGCATGCCAGAACCTCCCATCCAGGCTGGGGATCCTTGGCCTCTAAGTCAACAGCTGCTGGGAGCTGTTTCCTGCTGTTTTCTTCCCCTGGAACACTTAATTTCCTGAAAGCCTCTTACCGAAAGTCTCTGAAAAGTAACTATCTGGGGCCACATAAAATACGTTAAAACCTACTTGAGCTACAAATACCTGCATGATACGATTAAAATATTGTGTTCCTTAGATCATTTTGCCTTTCTTAGTCCTCAAGATTCTCAGGTGCATTTATATGGTGCTTTTGAAGTGGGTTTTTGTTTGTTTGTTGTTGTTGGGGTTTTTGTTTTGTTTGTGTTTTGGATTTTGTGGTCACACCCGGCCATGCTCGGGGCTTACTCATGTCAGGGCTCAGGGGAGCATACATAGTGCCAGGTATCAAACTTGGGTTTGATACATGCAAGGCAAGCAGCTTATCCGCTATACTATCTCTCCAGCCCAGAAGTGTTTTTGTTTGTTTGTGTGTTTGCTGCATTAAACCATATTTATTTATTTATTTGCTTTATTGGGTCACACCCAGCGATGCTCAGGGGTGACTCCTGGCTCTGCACTCAGGAATTACTCCTAGCGGTGCTCAGGGGACCATATGGGATGCTGGAAATCGAACCCAGGTCAACTGCGTGCAAGGCAAATGCCCTACCTGATGTACTATTGCTCCAGGCCCTGCTGCATTAAACTATTAGTGCTATGAACTAATTATTTCTTCTGATTGATTCAGTGTAGAAGTAGCATTCTAAGCTTGGAGAGGCACTGTGTGTTTTGGCAACCAACATTTATTAGATGAACAGTGAGTTTGCAGTTTTAAATTTTAGCCCATATTTAATCTCCACTTTAATATTTCAGTTTGAACTTTTGTGATTTTTGCCTGCTTACTCAATGGACTAACACAGTTGGTGTTGGATGTTGGAGCTTTGTTATCTAATGTTAATGCTAGAATTGTATCAACGTTTGTGGTTTTTTTCTACATTAAAATAAATCAAAAAAGTGCTGGTGCTGGAGATATAGTATTGTATCAAATATCCAGACACTGTGGCTTTAGTGAGCTTACAGTTAGGAAAAAAAAGATATAATATTACACGTGGTAGATTGAAATGTTACACAAGGATGAATGACAAAGTGGCTAGAGATTAGTTGTGTTAGACAGGACAAACCAGAAGATCTCTGCCACCTGACATTTGTACAGAGATCTGGAGCTGTGAGTGACAAACTGTGCAGACAAACCCAGTGGATGAACATTCCAGAGGATACTCCTAGTGAGGCGGGAGTAATCGTACAGCAGGTAGAACATCTGCCTTGTACAAGGTCTACCTGGGTTTGATCCCCAGCACCTCATATTCATGTGGTCCCCCAAATACTGCCAGGAGTAAAATTCCTGAGTGCAGGTCCAGGAGTAACCCCTGAGCATTGCCAAGTGTGACCTATAAAGCTACCCCCCCCCCCAAAGAAAACAAAAAAAAATCTCCCAGGTGAGTTAATGGGCAGTGTGAACATCATTGAGAACTGGTGGGCACGCCTGCCCTCTCGTTTCCCTCAGAAAGTGTCTTGAATATTCTTGAGCTTCTGCTTACACAGACACTCTAGAACAATCTTATCAGACTTTCACCAAATTTGGCTGGGATTGCATCAGTCTATAATATCCCTATGGCTACCTTTTACAATCTTTTACTAAATTTTATTTCCAGACACTTGCCACCTTGTTAGTAATATTATATTGACAAACAACCAGTTTGTGGCGGGGGGGGGGGGGGGACTTTGGAGAATGGTCCACTAGTTTAGGTTGAGATTTATGTGAATTCAGTCATCTCTGAATAGCTTATTTGCCATGTCTTACAGTTCTTTGGCTGACACTCTATATTTTCTTAAAATGCTAACCTATTGACTCTCCAGATATTCCTGAGCAGAAGGTATTGATTATCCCCATTTTACAGATGTGGAAACCAAGGCACAAGGTTCCTCAAGTTCTTTGCCCAGCATTGTAAATAGCAGGCAAGTTGCAGGACTGGGGTTCAGACTTTGTTCAGACTTTGTTTCTTCCTCTTCAGACCTTTCGTGTGTTTATTTTGGCAAGTACAGAGCCAAATCGCTGTGGTTGGAGGGGAATGGTTGACTGGTGAGTAATCTGGAAGGAAACCCTCTCCCTATGAGAGCCATTCATTAGGACATTTGCTGCAGATGTTTTTGTGGGTAATGTGTGACTGTGGTGACTGGTTTTCAAGTGCTAAACTAGCCTGGGATAAGGTTCTCTCTCTGGGTGTGTAGGATTGGGATTAAGTCCTCCTTAAATGCTTGGTAACTAATGTTTAGGCTGTCTGGAACTTGTGTTTGTTTTTTAGTAGCCCTGAGCCAGGTTTTCAGGGTTGGTGTGGCATTCTCATGGGAAAGCAATAAGGAATATCAAATTCTTGCCTCTGAAAGAGTTTACTAATCATACAGCATGTAGCTTTTCCTGGTTCTCTTTTGTCTGGAATATTTTTATGGAAG